GAATTGTTAATTTATTCCAATTTTTCATTTCAAACTTTTCACTTCGATTTTCAGTTGCCACCGGGGGAAAATTTTTTACGATTTATCAACACACAAAAAAAATTTATTTTATTTAATTTTTTTTTTTTTTACGCCGCGTTATTAATCTCAAAAATTCCATTAACCGGAAAACGGATAAAAATAAATAATGATAATAATGATAATAATGAAAAAAAGTCTTTAAAATAAAAGGATAATGCTATTAATAATAAAAAAAAAAAGGAAACATAAGTACTAAGGATAAGACATAATGATATAAAGACGTTTTTAAAACCTTTAAAAAAAAAAAAAGGAAATGAAATGAAAAGCTTAAATTTTTTGTATGTATATAAATTGTTTAACAAATAAATAAAAAAAGTAACAAACAACAAACGAACAAACAAACAAACAAAACAAGCAGACAATAAAAAAAAAATAAAACATGAGAAAAGTAAAATAACGGTTAAAAATAAGATGAAATAAGAATTTACAGGGGAAAAAATAATAAAAAAAATTTTTAATCCATAGAGTAAATAAATAAATATTAAAGCAGACGAAACGAGAGAGAGAGAGAGAGAAAGAAAAAAAAAATTAATTTAACCTATATAGTAAACAAGTTAATTTTTACCGCCATTTTTAAAAAAGAAAATTCTCTCTCTCTCCCTTCTCTCTCCTCCTCTCCCCCCCATTATCGTTTATTTAATTATTAATAACGTCATCGTGTAATAAAATGACGTGTTTCCGGTCAAAAATAATAATAATAATAATAAATAACGTTAATAAAGGCGCGAAAAATAAATTTCACATTTTCTTTTTTTTTTTCCAAGTTTATTTACCCGTTTCGCGTCGTGTAAATAGAATGAACTTAACTAATAATAATTCTTTTTGTCGTGGTTTTAGAATAATAATATTAAAGAGTTTTTTTCCCCCCCCCCCTTTTTTTAGTAATAAATATTTATTATTATTATTTTTATTATTATTAAATTTTGAACGTTTTGATTTGAATTTTTATTTAATTATTTATATATATTTGATTTATTGCAATATTAATAATAATAATAATAAATTCGAATATATTACGATGTTAGGGGAGGGAAGGAAGGGGAGTGAGGGAAGGGAATGAAATAATAATAATAATAATAATAATTTTTTTTTATTATTTTTATAATTAAATTTACGTTTTAACGTTTTAAATTCAAACCGTTTTTTTTTCTTCTCCCTCTCTCATGTTTTTTCACGTGAAAACCTCTGATCCGCCATCTTGGATAAGGTTCGTTGTTTCTTTAGAAAAAAAACGGTTAATCATTTATTTATGGTACAAAGTTAAAGAAGGAAAATTTTTTTTTTTGCGGTTAAAAATTTTCTCATCTGTAAAATTATTATAAAAAAAACCTTTTTTTTTTTTTTTTATTAAATGTTTAAATAAATAAAACGTCGTCGTCGTACGTTTTATTATTATTTAATGAGAAAAAATTTTTTATCATAACGAACAGTCAAGGAGTCTCCCCACCCCCCCAAAAAAATATTTTTTTTTTTTTATACAGAATAACCAAAGCAAATCCGGGTTTTAATGTTTTTATGTTTTCACCATTTTATTACCCATTTTTTTTTAAGTTTTGGTTCGTAAATTTTTTTTTCTTTTTAAAAAATAAGTTTTTAATGGTTTTTTTTTTTTTTCAAAAGTTTTTTTTTTTTTAAAGGAGGAGTTTTAAGGGGGACCGAATGTGAGGGAAGGGGGGCAAACACTAATAATAAAAAAATAAACGACCTCAACGAAAAACTTTTTGACACAGAATAAAAACATTAAGAAAAAAAAAAAAAATTGCGTTCAGGTGTTGTTTCTTTTTCCATTGAATTCTACTACAATTTTCCTTTTTTTTTCATTTTTTTTCTCATTTCCTGTTTCTTTTACTCCCTTTCGACGAATTTTATTTGATATTTTTAATAAAACACGAGCACAGCCACACCCCGAAAAATGTTTAACGTCCGAAATGATATATTACGAATGCGTTTGTTTGTGTTTGTTCAGAAATACGTTAACGATGTTATATACGTCAGGTGAAAACAAAATAAGGTGAATTATACATTTATCACCGTTAAATTTACATGATAATACATAATAATAATAATAATAATGAAAAGAGAAAAAAAAGGAAAAAAAGGAAAAAAAAAACCATAAATTTTTTTTCCCTTTTTTTTTATTCTCGTGTGAACATTTATTAAGATTTCATTTTCCTAAATATTATTATTATTATCATCATCATTATCATTATTTAAATTAATTAACTTCCGGTACGAAATATTCATCATCACCATTATTATTAGTATCATTATTATAATTAAATAAAAAGAAAATTTTCTTTTTTTCTTTATAATTTAAACCGCCGTTTTAAAATTAATAATAAAAAAATTTTTTTTGCCCTTTTTTACCCTTTGACTCTTTTCCCCCTCCTCCCCTTCTCCTCATTTTATTAAAAAAAAAAAATTACTCATAACTATCAGATGTCAAAAGAAAAAAAAATTTTCACTTTGGAAAATTTTAAAATTTTTCCCCATACAAAAATAAAAATTCGAACTCGTATTATAATAATAATAAATTTCTCTCTCTCTCTCTCTTGCACGCGCCCTTACTCCCCCACATTTAACTCCTATTTAAGGCTACACCCCCCCAGTCAAAAAACTTTTTTTTTGGGCGGAGGGGAAAGGCCTTAAAAAAAAAAAAAAAAGGATTTCAATTTATGTCAGACACGTTAAGAAACAAAGATAATAATTTATTATTATTATTATTATTATTTTAACTGGATAACGATTTACGATTTAATCGTTTACGGTATTGTTTGTCCCTTTTTTTTCTTTTTTTAAATTTATTATTATTATTGTTATCATTATCACCGTCCTGGAATTTGGACAAAAAAAAAAAAAAATTAAAACGAAATTGGAAAACTGGATGAGTTTAATTCGATGGAAAATTTTTTTTAATCAACGTCTCGCTCGTTTCACAAATTTATCACTGACGGATGAAGTGATAATAATGATAATAATAATTATTATTATCATCATCGACGACAGAGAAAAAAAAAAAACCACAACAGCAGAAGCAGAAGAAAAAAAAAATTTATTACAAAGGAAAAAGGAAACGCATTGAATCCATTGAATTATTTCCGAAAATATTATCATCATTATTATTATTTTGTTGTTCCAGTTTACGAAAAAAAAAAAATTTATCATGGAATCATGATCCGGATGTATTTTTTTTTACGATAAAAGTAAATTTTCCAGTATTTCTTTTCTCATCTTGCCTGTTTTTCTTCTTCTTTTTTTGAGGTCAAAATTTTTTTTGACTGGAAAAACCCTTTTCCAGAGGGCATCATTTTATAAACGAAACGCAGATTGACTTATAAATTTTTGGATAAATTAATCGGTTATAAATAACACGGTCAAAAAAAAAAAATTATTTAAAACTTTTTTTTAAAAAAATTTTCTCCAGGGTTTTCCAGTCGGATTTTGGAGAGAAAAAAAAAAACAATTTTTAACACGGAAAAAAAAACCGTAACCGTTTATTTTTTAATACAAAAAAAAAAAAAACATAAAGGGGTTAACAAAACTCTTAACCTTTTTCATACCCCCATATCACCCCCTATCACCTCCCCCCCCTATCACCTCCCTCACCCCCCAACCCCCCGATAAAATGACTTTTTCACGTTGGAAACATTCAAAACGTAGATTTTTAACACAAAAAAAATTTTTTTTTCCTTTTTTTGTTCTTTTTCTCCCCCCCCCCCTGTCCTCGACCGAATAATAACAACCCATACAACAAAAACAATTCCAATCAAACTGTTTGTTTGTTTGTTTGTTTCTTTTCAATTATTTATTAAAATAACTAAATAATTTTCATCATCATCTCATCAGATTTTTAATCTCTGACATTAAATTAAAAATTTTTTTTTTATTTTTTAAATTTAATTTCGCACACACGCACAAAGAGAGAGAGAGAGAGAGAAACACATCCTCAACTTAATAATTAAATAAATAATAATAATAATAATAATAAATAAATACTTACAATAATTAAAAATCAAAATAAAAAATTTTTTATTCATTTTTATTTTATTTATTTTATTTATTTATTTTATTTATTTATTTATTTATTTATTATTATTATTATTATTATTAAATATTTTAATCACATTTTTTTATTATTTAAACATTTACGTAATAAAATAAATAAAAAAATAAATAAAATATACAGGCACACACACTCGCGCGCGAAATCGCGGGTAAATACAACAACAACCACAACAACCACAACCGACTCCTTCCTTTTCTTAACTTAAACTAAACTAAACTAAACTAAAAAAAAAAAAAAAAAAAATTTTAACGTTTCCCTCTTCATTTAATAATAATGCTCATGCGTCCATTTTGTTTTCTTTTTCCCTCCATTTTAATTCTTCTTTTAAAAATTTTTCCTTTTTAAAACGATATTTATTTATTTATTTTGCAAGGAAAAATGACAAATAGTTTCCTGTGTCTTTATTTTTTTTTTCTCACATTTAATTAAAATACAAAAGTCTCGTTTAATGTTAATAATAATAATAATAATAATAATTCATTTTTTATGCGTTTATATGATTAAACCATTTCCTTTATTATTATTATTATCATTTTATTAACTCATGCAAATATTTTATAAATAAATAAATTTAACGTATATTATGTATATATATATATATATATATTTATTATAATTAAGAATCGACAAAGAAAATTTACAAATTAATAAAAATTAACTAAAATCAGGGGGTTTGAGGAAAATTGTTGAGAAAAATTTTAACGACTTTTTCCTATAACAACAACATACTGCAATTATTTTCCTTTGTTTTAAAAAATGGCGTCATTAAATTTTAACAAGAGGAATATTTAAAGGATTTTTTTCTTTTTTATTTTTTACATAATAAATAAATACAAAAAAAAAAAAAATATAATTAATATCTAAACCAATACATTTTTCCTCTCGTTATGTTATAATCTGGTAGAGTTTCGATTGGTCCAATGGCTGCAACTGCCGGACATCTATCGTAAATGTATTTAAGCATCGTGTTTCTAACTTGTTCGGCCGTTATCATACTGATTCTCGCTTCCAATTCGTTGAGGGGTATACGTCTTCCGTAGCATAACATTTGACGACCTATGTCTTCGCAAACGGGTGTAGTACCATCGAGTTGTAACAACATGTTCGTTTTCAATAGATTTTTAGCTCTCTCAACTTCCGGACCCGTGATCGACGTGCACAATCTTTTCCATTCGTCCAAAACGGAGCATAACATGTCCTGCGAACATGATAATTTCACAGAGAGTTATCACTAATAATAATTAGATTTTAAATAGACACATCATAATACTCACATCTGTTTTCGAGGGTTCTGTAACAAAGTAAATACCCCATAAACCAGTGTCTTTGTAACAAGTGTTGAAACTCTGAAATGAATGCGCTAAATTTCCTTCGGCTACAACTTGAGCTAATTTGGAAGCATTGTTTGTGCCTCCACCTTGCGACCTGTCCCAGGCACCCAATAATGTGTTGGCGATCATGAGTGAGATGTTGTCAGAATCGCACCATCCGCATCCTTCGACAGCAATGGCAATGTGTGCCAAAGGCATCGTGTCATCTCTCACTCTGACTTCGGAACCTGTAAATCTGCATGGAGTGTTACATGGGATCTCTCCTGTGTAACAAACATCGAGTTTGTTGAACAAAGAACAAGCAAGGTTAACAAGTTCATCGTGAACGACTCCTCCAGCTCCTGCCAATACTATTCTAGGTGGTTTGTATGTATTGTTAATATATTCCTTCAAATCTGCCCTGGATATGGTCCTGAAAATCATTTAAATATTAGTGTGACATCAATGGGAATTTTGAATTTTCGTCTGATGATTTATTTTATTACTTTATGTTTTCAGTAGGTCCGAGAATGGTTCGACCCAATGAAGTCCCTTGATAAGCCACTGAATGCAAATAATCAAAAACAACTTCTTGTAAATTAGTTTCGACTTCTTGCATTTCTCTTAAAATGACTGCTCTTTCTCTTTCTATTTCAGCTTCTCCTAATTTTGAATTTTGAATTATATCTGATAAAATTTCTAAAGCTTTGGATACATCTTGTTTTAAGCATTTAGCATAAAATACAGTTTGCTCCCGGGACGTGTAAGCATTCAAATGCGCTCCTAAATTTTCAATTTCTAACTCCAAATCAGTTTGAGACCGTTTTTCGGTGCCTTTAAAAGCCATATGCTCCAAGAAATGAGCGACTCCGTTATTTTCTTCATTTTCATATCTGGATCCGGCATCAATCCAGAGTCCAACGGTAGCTGTTGGGGAACCAGTGTCTTCGCTGGCTATTCTGAGCCCATTTTCCAAAGTTGTCACACAAGTAGGAGGTAAGTTAGCGAGATAAGGTTGCAATCCATTAATTGCAGGTTTTGTAGCAAGAGGACGAGTATACTAGAAAAACCATTTGTAAAATATAGAAATAAGCAAACGAAAAAAGCAAACAAGCAAAAAAAATTTTAAAAAAATTATTTTTTAAAACATTAAATATTTTTTTTTTTAATTACCCCTGCAAAATCTTTGAGTTTGGAAAGGGTTTTTAAATTACCACCGAACTTTAATATCTTGGACGCCATTTTACTTTTTTACAGAAAATGAAACACAGCCTTCTTGATTTTTCTTTTTTTTTTTTTTTATAGAAATTTCTCAGTGAATACTTCAAAGGAATTAAACGAGTTCAAAATATGGCGTCTAGTTGCTCCATATTTTTGTTTGTGTTTAGTAGTAATTAATTAATTTTATTGAACATTTTATATAACTTATTTTTTATATAGATGAAACGTTTTTTTTACAGTAAATAATTAAACGCAATTTATATTAATTTAAAACGCAGAATGCAGTTTTTATTTTGCTGCACAAAATATATAGTAATACATTTCGAAACTGAAGCTTGCAAAATATTTTTGAATGCTCGTTAGCATGTCAAGACATTACGGGAGAGGTTACCACCGTCGTGGTACACCAGTTTGTCAAACAAGTTTTCCTATCGATAAATTATTCAAAGAAAATAGCAATAGGCCTTCCGCTGCTAGGTCTGCTGGAACTATAGGAAAATGGGGCATCACGTCTTTTACGACAATACGTAATTCAAGTTATGAACCGTCTTATTCGAAATATAGTTCTTTTAGAAATCAAAATCAAAACATTAATAGTGGAAATTCGTATTCAAATGATGAAAACAAAGCAAAACAAGATGGCCCTCCGAAGCCCAAAAAGTTTTTCAAAAGTAGAAATACTGAAATTACCGAAGAATCTGCCGTTTCGCCTACATCAACCGTTTTAAATAATGACTTATCTAGTAAAAGCCCTGTTAAAAAGAACAAAGAAGTTGGAACAACATCCAAAAAAGTTTACAGTTCTAAAACTCCTCCTAAAAATAATGATCAATCTCCTACTGATGAGTATAAGCCTCCTATAGTTTTAAGAATTTTCAAGGGAACATCTTGTATTGTAGCCGATGGTGAAAAGGTTTCACCCACAATAACTTCACCAACATCACCCAAAGCCAGATCTTCACCCACAAAACCAGAAAAAACACTCGTGTGTAAACAGGAGAAATCTGCTACATCAACAAGGAGTAGTAGGAGGCGTAGTTTTCAAGATATCTCAGAAACTGGCCCTTCATCCCCGAAACCCAAAAGAGCTAGAAAAGATATAATGAAAGATCCTGAAATTGAATCCATTATATCTCAACTTGTGGGTGATAATGAAAGTGATGAAAATTTAAAAACCTGTGATATTGTTCCTATTGACCCTGTAAGTGCTCAAGAAAATACAAATCAGGTAAATGATGATGCATCAGATGATAGCCTTCCTTTAGCTTGCACATCTTATTTTGCTAAAAAAGAAAACTCAGAAGCAGAAAATTTAGAAGAGGATGTACAACCGGAAAAGGCTTCCGAGGAAGAGCCTGAAGTGAAAAATGATGATAATATTGTAGAGACTAAACTTGAAAACACACTTAGTAACATTGTGGATAAAATTTTATCATCCCCTAAAGAAATAACAGAAAAACCTGTCGAAGTTGAAAAAGAAATTGCCAGTGCAGTCGAACCAGAAGCACCGACAGATGAAAAGGATTTTGAATCTGGGAGTGAGAGTTCTGATACGGCAAATCAATGTAGTGTTACTTTAACATCAAAAGTTGAATCAGGAGGACTGAAATTGGTTATAAAGAAAACTCCGGAAACTATTGCAGAAAAAGAACAGAACAATTTGGATTCTGAGGGAAATAAGGAAGAAACAAGCACTCCGGTTAAAGTATTGCCAGTGAAAAAAAAAAGTATATTTAAAAGTAGGGGAAAAGATGAAAGCGGTAATAGTTCTAAAAGATTGGCACTTTACAAACATAATTGGAACACATCTCAAGCTGTTGAAGCCAACAGTAAACAAACGACTCCAGCTTCAGGTTCTCAATATGAGCACATAAGCGATTTCGATTTGGGAAGTTTAACAAGAGTTTCGAGTGAACAATCTGATGGGAGTAGGTCTTTGGATGATGTGACTAAAGTCAAATGCGATAGAAAGGATAAGGGAGTAAGTTTGATATTTTCACAAAAAATAAATCCGTTCATTTTAACAGGACTAATATTCATTGTAATATTTTTTTTGTTCAGTACTACACAGTTGTCAGAAATGTTAAAAAAGCTCATCAAATTCAAGAATCTGGAGAATTTCAAGAATTCAATGATGACGTGGATTATATATTGGATGCGTTAAAAGACAACAATCCAGTCGGTACGAGATGCCTGTCTGCCATAACTTTGGCTGGAAAGTGTATGGCTCCTGCCTTTAGAATGCACGTCAGAGCTCATGGAACCGTGGCAAAATTTTTTAAAGCATTGCACGATGCAACCACTGATCAAAGTTTAGGTAAATTGAAAATTTTTGGTTTTTTTTAATGACTTCCCCTCAATTTTGAGTTAATAAAGAAAAATTTTTTATTCATCAGGTTTATGCACCGCGACTGTAATGTTTGTTCTTAGCCAAGACAGACTGAATATGGATCTTGATAGGGACAGTCTTGAGCTTATGTTAAATCTATTAGAATCCGATGCGAGCCACAAAAACGCATTGGATGATTGCGGAATGAGTTCTGCTCAATTGAAAAAAAACAAACAGAAAGTGAGAGAGCTTTGCGCCGAAATACAAAATAAAGGATTGGCAAAGCATCTTAATTTAGATAATATAACAGTAAGTTGAAAAAAATCCGCCCCCCCCCCATTTTCGGTTCAAAATTCATCAATCGACTCAAAGTTTTAATTCGTTTGTTGTTTGTTTTTAGGTAGGACAATTAGCTATGGAAACACTTTTAAGTCTGACGTCGAAAAGAGCCGGAGAATGGTTCAAGGAAGAATTGAGAGAACTCGGAGGTTTGGAACACATTGTCAAAACCATTTCAGACTGTAGTAAATCGTTGGAAACTTACATTAGCCAATGGACGGATCACTTACTGGACAGACTCCGAAAGATTGACCGGTGTTTGAGAGTTCTCGAAAACGTGACGAGTCAAAACGAAGAAAATCAAGTTTACCTGTTGAAATATCAAAATGGAGTGTTGTTAAAAACAATTATTAAATTATATAAAATATGTAACGATGAAATATCCCTGTATCCGTGCACGGATCCGACGGATAAAGTATCCACCGGTTACGTCATACGTGAAGCACTGTTGGCCACCCTGAAAGTTCTTATTAATCTGACTCAGGATTATAACAAAAAATGTTAGTATTATCATTATTATTATTATTATTTACATTTTTTTTCTTTCTGTTTTTCTATTTGTATAAAAAGTAACGGTTTTTTTTTTTTTTTGTTTTCCCCCTCCTCCTCCCCTTTCCCCCGTCCGTTTAGTGTTTTGCGATAGTTTAGTGACTGGAAGAGTCGGACTCATAGAGTCTAGTTTGCATTTACTTCTTCAGGTACCCAATTACATACCAGACGAAGAAAAATTTGATATGATTATATTGGTGAGTATCCCCCTTTTTTTTTTTTTTTTATAAAGAACTAATGTAACTTATTGAATGATAATAATAATAATAATAATAATAAAATTTCAGGATTTGAATCTTTTGATCAATTTGGTTGAAAATAACGAAGACAACAGGAATATTTTAATGGAAAGCAAAGCACCTCCCGATCCCGAATGCGTCGTCGAAAGAAGTTCGAGTTAGTTTACCTATTATTATCATTATTATTTTTGTTTTGTCTTTCGTGAGTAAAAATTTAATTCGTTTATGTAAATAATTGTTGTCGTGCAGGAGAACAAATGAGCGCGATCGGTGCTCTCGTCAATCTTTTCTACATCCACGAAAAAAGTGCGTACGAAGAACAAGTCGAGACTGACGCCATTTTAGATGGTAAAAAAGACGTGAACGATTCAAACGATCCATCATCTCAATCATCACAACAATCTCAACCCAAATCAAAAGGAGACGAAATAGAAGAAACTGTGGCTAAACGTGAGAGACATTTTTTTTTTTAAATAAATAAAAACGGAAACGGAAGAAACGTTTTCAATTAACGAAATTTTCTTTCTATTTTTTAAAATTAGTTTTACAAAAGGCGGGTAATCACATGGAACACACGTTTATCGGAGCCTACATTGTCCTACTCATCGGGTATTTAATTACCGACAATAAGGGACACGAAGCCGTAGTACGACAGCACCTTCATCAAGGGAATTTCAGTTCGTTCGTTGCAGTTTTAGAAAAATTTTATAATTTTATGAAAATGACGGCGACGGTGAGTTTTTGCGAGTGAGAGAGAAAGAGAGAGAGAGAAAAAGGACAAGGAGAGAAATTAATTTTTTTTTTTTTTTTACGATCAGGCCGTCGGTGGTCAAAGTAACAAAGCGACGGAAAGAGTTCTCAATTATTACATTGAAATTGAAAAACCGGCCAAAAAGGAAGAAATCAAAACCGAATCTATCACTACTACTACTACCAATACTACTACTAACACTACTACTAGTAGTAGTGGTGGGAGTGCAACAGATATAAAATCATCTCCACTTTACGAAGGCGTTCTCGACTACACAATGTCTTAGTGACGGAAAGAAACCTTTTCCTCCCCCTCCCTTCCTACTACGCCCTCCTACCTCCCCTTTCCCCTTCCTCCCCACCCCCTCACGTCACCCCCTAAGAAAAAGAAAAATTTATATATATGTATGTATGATAATTTTTATTACCATTCCATATCAACTGGAATTTTAAATGTTTTTTTTTTTTTTTAAAGTGATGATTAAATGATGATGATGATGATGATGATGATGATTATGGTTATTTTTTTATTTAAATTATTGCCAACGTTGAAAAATTAAAAACAAACAAATAAATATACACGTAAATTATTAATTTTTATTATTAAATTAATTATTATTATTATTATTATTATTCGAACGATTGAAACTTATTAAGGGTTATTTTTTATTGTATAAATTTTTTTTTTTTTAAATAAGAAAATCTCATTAAGTTTAATATTTAAATAAAAAAAAAAAAAATGTTTTCCCTTTTTTTTTTTTTCTTGTCTTGTAAATATTTATATTTAATTTTTTTTTAATTATATATATATATATAAACACGTACACTTACACGTGCGTGCGCGCACGCGTGAGCATATATTTACTTTTGATTTTTCGGTTGATACTATTATTATTATTATTAAATTATCGACGAGTTTTATAAATTTATATATATATATTAAAAACACATTGACGAGCACGAATCGAGTTTTTTTTTTTGTAAAAAAAAAAAATAAAATAAAATAAAATTTATATTATGTAAAAAATTACAAAAAATTCTTTTTTCCCCTCCCTTCCCCCCTTCCCCCTTTTTTTATTATCATTATTATTATTTTATAAAAAAAAAAAAAAAAGGAAAATTGATGACGTCATAATCGAATGATGTCGTTAAATGAAAACGTGTGAAATGAGTGGCTATGAAATAAAATGATTTGTTTACAATGTTATTAATCAAAAAAAATTATTATTATTATTATTATTATATATATATAAAAGGTAGCGAGAGAGAGAGAGAGAGAGCGAACAAACAAACAAACAAACACAGAACATCCATTAAAACCGTGAATATTATCTAATTTACAATCGTTTCAAAAAAAAAGGGGAGAGACAGATAGAGAAAAAAAAGATTAAAATTGTGTGCAGAGAAAATGAAAAATCTCTCAAAAACCGTTACAAGATACCCTCCCCTCTCCTACCCTCCCAATGCATATAGTCTGGAGCTGAGAGAGAGAGAGAGAGAGGGGGGAGAGGGTTGTTGTAATAATTGCCCCGTGAAACGATACCCCCATATTTCATTTCAAGTTAAAACCCATAAACTTAGTAGGCAATTATGGATAGTGGTTCATTTATCATATCTCTCTCTCTTTGCCGTGGGGCTTGAGATTTCCAGAGGGATGAGAGGATCTCGAACGAGGGGGGAAGAGGAGGAGGGAGAGGGATTTCCGGCGGAAACGAGTGAAAATCTGTAACGTGCTCGCGAACGCCGCCATATTCAAAAATGAATTTTCCTTTAGATAATAATTTAAATCTCAACTGTAATTTTGATATATTACTTTAAAGAAAAGCATTTTTATCTGATTTGCTGTTGGCATTTTGTTTTATTGCTACTACAAACTTTTCTTTTTTTTTTTTTTTTCACTACGACTCCCCCCTTATCCTTCACCCTACCTCCCTCCTTCCTTTCTCCCCTTTCCCCACGTGTATCATTATTATTATTATTATTTTCTCTTATGGAATTCATATGTAAAAAATTCATGATTGTGTATTTTTTTCGAATTTTTCCGAAAGGAAATAAAAAAAAAAAAAAAAAAAAATCGACTCGTAAATAAAAATTTTCATTTATATAAAATACCGAAATGGTTTTCCCTTCCACCCCTTTCTCCTCCCCTACCCCTCCTCCTCCTCCTCATCCTTCCCCTTCTTCTTTTTTTTTGTGTGAAATTAAAAATTTAAATATGAAAAGTTTAAAGTTTTCATATTGAAACTGTTAAGACTTTCCCTATCTCTCCTCACCCCCTCCCCTCCCCCCTCTCTCTCTCTCTCTTCCCCCTCTCTCCTTTTTCCTTTACCGAAAGGTAATAATAATCGGTCTTTGTGGAATCACTCAAGTAGAAAACCAAAAAGAAAAAAAAAAGAATTACCGACATCATCATCATCATCATTATTATTAATATTTTCTATATGAAAACGTCAGATGCAAAAAATCATTATTATTATTATTATTAAAACAACGATTTAAAAAAAACAATAACAATTTTTTTTTCTCTCTGTTTGTTTTGTTTGTTTGTTCAGAAGACAACAAATCCTACTTTTTTCTTCTGCTTTCACTCAAATCCGATTCGAACGAACGGTTTTCCCTAGGTAGGGAATAAAAACGATGTCGCGTACGTGCGTTTAAAACCCGTCAACGTGTGTGCGTGTGAGAGAGAGGGAGAGAGAGAGAGAATAAGAAATAATGAATATGACTAATGAGATGAAAAGAGAGAGAAAGAGAAAAGTGTTAAAAGGAATAAGAATAAGAAAAAGTTTTTTTTTAATAAATTTTTTCAAAAAGAATCTTTGATGTCGTGATCCACCGCACACGCACACGCACACGTACATGCACACGCACATACACGCACAAATAATAATAATAATAAACGATTTGAAATTCATTTACACCGCCAAGGCGTGGCAATCATTTTTTCTTTCTTTCTTTTTTCTTTCACGTCTTTTCCCATTATTATTATTATTATTATTATTATTATTATTAGCGTTATCATTATTATCATTATCGTCTTTTTACTTCGTCGTCGTCTATTTCACAAAAGTGATTGTTTTTGAGAGAGAGAGAGAGAGAAACCAAAAAAAAAAAAAATTTTTAAGAAAAAAAAAACTTTCAAAAGTGCGAAAATTTCATCATTATCATTATTATCATTATTAATTATTTATTTATTAATAAAGTTTTCGCGATTTATTTATTTATTTTTATTATCACGTACATACATACATAAATAAAATAAATAAATAAATAAATAATTTTATGAATAAAAGACAAAAAAAAAAGAAAATTCGAACAAGTACCAACAACAACAAAATCTCGACGCCATTTTAAATTTTTCCTTTTTTTTTCTATCTCTCTCTGCCTCTTTCTCTCTCTCTTTATTCGAAATGAAATTTTATTATTATTATTATTATTATTAAATGATTTTGCATTTGATTGACTTTAAATTATTTTTCAAGAAAAAAAAAAGAAAAGAAAAGAAACAAAAGGAAAAAGGTTTTTTTTTTTTTTTTTTTTTTTTTTCATTTCCATCAATTTCTTACCCTCAAGACCTAAAAAAGGGGAAATTTCTAGGAAAAAAAAAAAAAAATTTTCTTTTTTTTTTCTTTTCTTTCTTTCTGGAAATTTCCTTCCTTCCACTTTGATCACTGATTCAAGAAATAAAAAGGGATGAAAAAGATTTTCTGTTTTCTTTTTTTTAAAAACTTTTGATATTTTCTCTTTTGACGAAATTAGATTTTCATTTCAATTTATCTTCTTAATACAACATCTTTTTATTTATTTATTCATTCTAAGCGAAGGGTAAATGCGAGGGGAGGGAAGGGAAGGGAGGCACGTGAAAAACCCTTAAAACAACCAAGGGAGAGAGACAGAGAGGAAGAGAGAGGGGGAGAGAGAGAAAAAATTATTTCGTTATCATCCATCCGTAATTATTACACTCGGACCCCCCAAAAAAAACAACAAAAATTTAAAGGGGAAAATAATAATCCGCCGGTACCGCTCCCCACCCAACCCCTTCCACCCCCTCGCCCCCGCTTTTTCCCTTTTCCGCACCTTAATTATACATGCGAAAGTGTCGGTTGTCGGAGTATATACGAGGGTTATTATGTCGAAGCAATTTCCGAAAGAAATGAAACAAGAGTTGTTAGCAGAAGATAAAGAATGATTTAAATTCTACCGCCGAAACGATTATTTGGGCTCTTTTTGAAAAACCTACCACCAACGGGGGGGGAGGGAATGGGGTTGCGTAACAAGAATAAGGGTGGAAAAACTTTTCGGCGGAAAAAAGATTTACTAGTAGGGATTTTTACATTTAAAAACCGGGGGGTGGGAGGAGGAAAAAAAGGCGCGAATATGAAACAACGATAGGAAATGAGATGATGATGATGATGAGGAGCGTTGGAGAGTGGGGGAGTGAAGGGGGCGGGGGTAAAAACGTCATCGTTATTTTCGGGTCTTATCATTTAACAACCGGCGATATGATTTTCAGCGGCGGCGGAATTTCCTTTTTTTTTTTTTTTTTTAGACTTCATTAACTCTTTTCGTCGCGATTTGGTTTTTGTTGTTATTTTGTTGATGTCATCCCCTCCCCTCCCCTTTCTCTCTCCCTCTCCCCACACGATAGGTAAATTGATTGTCTTATCGCATCGTTTCCCTCATCCGTTTAGCTTAGCTTAACCTCACCTTTTGGATGATACGAGATAACATTATTAATGAATCATCTTATTTTATGATTGTTTTTTATTATTATTATTATTATATATAACCGAACGCGCGAACGCGTGCGTTCGTTTTTTTTTTTTAAATTGAGAAAGTTTTCGACCCTGATAAATACTTTTTTTTTTTTTTTTTGCTAAGAATGGCATTTTAAAAACTTTTCCCCTGATAAAAAAAAAAAAAAATTTAAACGTGCTTATATTTTAATATTTATTATATTTACACGGTACAAAACCTGTTTCTATCTACATCACTTCCTGTTATTTTCTCCTCCCCTTCCCTCCCCTCCCCCTGAATCTCGCGCCTTAAAAATTTCTCTCTCTGTCTCTGTCTGTATTATTATTATTATCATCGTTAAAAGAAAATAAAAAAAAAAAAAAAAGGGCAAAACAGTTTTTTTTTTTTTTTTTTTTCTCGTAGAACTTTTATAAATCTCATTGGAGTGATTCAAAAATTGAAAAATGAGTTTAAAATTTAAAATAGCACTCGCAATACGGTTAAATGACGGTTGATAAGCTTTTTCATCCCTTATGTTTCATCCCTTATT